AGCACCTGCCTCCACTGGGATTCCAGACTCCCCAAACTAGACAACTGACCAGTGTCCTACCAGGGGGAGACTCAGGAGGAAGGGAGGGAGAAGGGGACTGGGACTTGCTCTCCCCTGGGATGCCAGGTGGGCTCCATGTTCACAACAGGCAGAAGGTGATGGAAATCATTTAAAACCACTGGGTCTCTTAAGTGTCCTTCATCATTCCCAGGGAAGAATACTCTACTGTTGATAAGCATGAAGCAAAAGAAGGCAGTGAGAGAATGGAATGGGTTAGCTTTCCTTTCTAAAGATTCCTAGAGATTAAAAAATAACGCCAGCAGATATCTTCTCGAGGACTCTGGGCATGAGGAAAGAGTGAGAAAAAGAAAAGAAAAGGACTTCTGCCTGGCTTAGAAGAAAAAGACCTAGAAACATTTATATAGCCATAGGAAAACTAACTGTGTAGAACCAGAGCATGACCATTAAGGTGTTTGTTGTAGCGGGCAACCATGCTGAAACAGAAGTTATTGGAATCCAATCATTAGCTACCTTGGATTTAATTGTTAGATTCTCCACACTTAATATGCCTTTAACTGAAGTACGATTTAAAAAAAAAAAAAACTGTGCAACATAATGGGGAAATACATGATTGTGTTTTTCAATGAAAAGGAAAGAACTATTAAACGTCATTGATAGGCAGCATAACTTACCTAGTGAGAAGACTTCATATGTCCATGGAAGAATTTCACACAGCATCACTGAAGTGGGAAGGCAGTAGGTTTGTGGGTCCAACACTGTCAGCCTGAGCCTCTGTACATGCTGTGTACACACACATGCTGGGTGACACTCCAGGCATGCCTGGGCACCTGACAATGCCTACCTCTTTCTCCTTTGCTTTCTCCGGCAAATAATCACCTTGTCTTCCTCCAGGTGCGGTTCTTGGAGCAACAGAACAAGGTCCTGGACACCAAGTGGACTCTGCTCCAGGAGCAGGGCACCAAGACCGTGAGGCAGAACCTGGAGCCCTTGTTTGAACAGTACATCAACAACCTCAGGAGACAGCTGGACAGCATCCTTGGGGAGAGGGGCCGCCTGGACTCAGAGCTGAGGAACATGCAGGACACAGTGGAGGACTTCAAGAACAAGTGAGTTCAAGGAGAAAAGGGGCCTCAGTTCCCAGAAGCAGATGCTTGAAGACTGCAAGGTGACCAGGTCCAGATGTGGGCATGGCTCCGTAGGGAAACAGGTCCATGGAAATGAATATCACAATCATTGCCCCAAAACAACCCCCAAAGAACAAATGGGCCATAGAGGTGGGTGGGGAGAGAAAAGATATGAGGGATTGAGGGAACACACACACACACACAGACACACACACACAAAATGTGTGTGTGTGGCTCAGTGGGCAGGAAAGCTCAATTTGGACATAGCTGTTTTGTGGAAAGTTGGGATCCCAGGCTGATCTTGCTATATTATCTCCAACTCTGGCTCAATTATGTCTTACCTTGTTCTAATTCTAGATATGAAGATGAAATCAACAAGCGCACAGCAGCAGAGAATGAATTTGTGACTCTGAAGAAGGTGAGCTGATGAAGATCAGGGGATCATGTTCCTTTGTAGAGGGGGAGGACTCTGCATCTCTGCACACATCCAAGAGGGGAATAGAGGGGGGAGACTCAAAGGTGCTGAGACTGGGAAGGAGGGCTCAGCTGACTCCAAGTTGTTGGCTTATTCCCCAGGATGTGGATGCTGCCTACATGAATAAGGTTGAACTGCAAGCCAAGGTAGATGCTCTCACAGATGAGATCAACTTCACCAGAGCCCTGTATGACGCAGTAAGCATCTCCACTCCTCTTTTATTTGCTGTGATGGGGCTCTGCAAAGGGTGGAAGATCTTGGGGTTGGATACCTCAGTCAGTGCCACAGGAAAAGATGATCTGACCATCTTCTGCTCTGCAGGAACTGTCTCAGATGCAAACCCACGTCTCAGACACTTCTGTGATCCTGTCCATGGACAACAACCGTAACCTGGACCTGGACAGCATCATCGCTGAAGTCAAAGCCCAATATGAGGAGATCGCTCAGAGGAGTCGGGCTGAGGCTGAGTCCTGGTACCAGAGCAAGGTGAGCCTTGAGTTGACAGCTGGACACAGGAATGCCTGCGTCCCCTACCTGATCACTAGTGAGGCTACAGACTTTGCTGGAAAATCTGCTATGAGGAAGCTGATATTTTCTCATAAGATGTGTATCCTGCCCTCACAGACCAGGCATTTACAGAATTCAGGTCCAAATTTGATAAGCCAAGAACCCAAGTCACTAGCTAAAGACCTAGTGTTCTTTGCTTTTGTCCTCTCCCTGATCCTGGCTCTCAGAAACAGGATACAGAGCACTGTTTGTCCACAAATGAACTAGGCAGACAGAGGTCCATTAGAGAGAGGGTCTGTGATCAATGTACGGTATCCAATGACCTTGGACCACATCAACTTTCCCTAAAAACCCTTGTGGAGAAGCCACTGGCTTCATGGTCCAAATGTGTTAAATGCCTCGTTTGGAAGGTGAGCCACTGTTGGGATGTGAAAGCCCATATACACCAACTTCTCTTTCTTTCTTTCTCTCTCTCTCTCCCTGGATTTCAGTATGAGGAGCTGCAGCTCACAGCAGGCAGACATGGGGATGATCTGCGCAACACCAAGCAGGAGATTGCTGAGATCAACCGCATGATCCAGAGGCTGAGATCCGAGATCGACCATGTCAAGAAGCAGGTGTGGTGGGGGGCTCTGGAGAGGAATAACATCCTTTCGTGATACACCACCGGGTTGTCATCAGCCACCATTTGGGAAATGCTGGGAATTGAGGGAACAGCAGAGAGAGGGGAGAACACACAGCTCCCACCCTTGTGAATTCCGTCAGATTGGGGCACATGGATGCCAACACTAATGATGACAATGATAGAGTCGCATGATAAGAATAATCCCAGTTAATGAGACGTAAAAAGATAGTCTTGGAGCTTTTAAAAGAGATTAGTTAAAACAAAAGGTTGTTTTAGGAATATATGAAACAAGTCAGTAAAGAAAAGAGGTCAGGACGAGGCAAGATTGCTTCAAATCTGCTCAAGATTCAATGGAAAAAGAAAGTTGAGCAACGACCCAGGGTGAAGATCAGTGTTGCCCAAGTGTGATAGAATCTGTTAGGAGTGAGGAAGGCAAGATCTCCATAGCTAGATGTGAAGTTCATCTGCTTAAATGAGGATGTTCCTAATTTTGTGTAAGTTAGTGTGGCATCCACATGAGATCATCAGAAGATATCCTTGTCTGGCTTTGAAGATGGCACTCAAGAGAAATGAGTAGGTCCATTTCTTCCAAATTTGCTGGTATTTTGTCCAGTGTAGTGCAGGGAGGTTAAAAAAGGGCACAGGTTTTCTCACGTGGCTCCCAGACTAACTCATTTGTGCAGAACAGAGAAATACTGGGCAAAAAGAGGAAGAAGGCCCTTTCTATGATATTGGACTCTGGAACTCTTCCCCACTAGAAAGAACTGTGTTTAGTCTCCTCTGGAGGACTAAATCTTGAGTTCATCCTGCCTATGTTCCTCCTCTAGTGTGCCAACCTGCAGTCTGCCATTGCTGATGCTGAGCAGCGTGGGGAGATGGCCCTCAAGGATGCCAAGAACAAGCTGGCTGATCTGGAGGATGCCCTGCAGAAGGCCAAGCAGGACATGGCCAGGTTGCTGAAGGAGTACCAGGAGCTGATGAATGTTAAACTGGCCCTGGATGTGGAGATCGCCACCTACAGGAAGCTGCTGGAGGGCGAGGAGTGCAGGTGGGTAACTCACCACACAAGCCCCTCAATCATCCTGGATCCAGGTTTGGGATGTTGGGCCATGAGCACAAGTTGAAGGCACCCTAGTTATGGCCATAGTGGCTACTCACAGAGAACCATTTCTAAGGCAGCTTCCCCATGGGCTATCCTCACATTGAAGCTTCCCACTCTGGTCCATTGGTAGCTCTCTGAGGTCTCATGCCCCCCGTGTCTTCTCCCTTCCTAGGCTGAGTGGCGAAGGCGTTGGACAAGTCAACATCTGTAAGTACCTTTGCTCACCTCCTTCCCTTGCCCTTGTGTTCCTCTGACTGGACTGAGGCTGGCAGAATGAGCTCACTGTGTCCTGTGTCTTTGTCCCTCTCTCCTTCACAGCTGTGGTGCAGTCCACCGTGTCTGGCGGCTATGGCAGCGCTGGTGGCTATGGCAGTGCCAGCGGTATGGGCGGTGGCTCAGGCCTGGGCGGAGGCAGCGGCTACTCCTATGGCAGCGGCCACAGCCTTGGAGCTGGCTTCAGTTCCAGCAGTGGCAGAGGCATGGGGGGTGGCTTCAGCTCCTCTGGAGGCAGCAGTTCCACCATCAAGTACACCACCACCTCATCCTCCAGCAGGAAGAGCTACAAGCACTAAGTC